TGCGCATTACGGTTCGAACACTCGAACACCGAGGGCTCAAATACTGCGAGTATGTGAAGTGGACCGCCTGCGGGCAACATTTGGTATATTTTGGATGAAGCGTCTGGCACGCATTTTTGTGCATCGGTGAAACCGAGTTTTGTAAATCCGGGCTGGGATATCGAGTCAGTCTTTTGTTTTGAGTCTGTCTCTTTGTCTTGAGTCAGTCTTTTTTGCTTAAGGGTCTGTCTGATTGTATCGAGTCAGTCCCCGTTGTATATAATACTAGGTGATTCTGGGGTTGTTATCCCGAACACCGTTTTGTTTTGTAATTATCTATTTTTGTTTTGAGCCTGTTTCTGCCAAGGAGCCAGTTACACCCATCAAAGCCGATTGAAACAGCTGTTGCTATCTCGAACTTCATGCTTGCTTTCAGCATAAGGGCCAGAGAATTGGATTGGGCTGACAGTACATCTCGCCTGCTCTCCTGTGCGCCAAACTCATTGCATTAACCTAAGTTTTTCAAAAAACAAACCTTTTGAACAATGCGGTGATAAAAACGAAGAGGAAGGAATTCCTCGGGTTTTGCAAAATTTTGATTATTTTGAGAGAAAGAGAGGCATGCTAAACCTTTTAATGAGTGAAATCATGCTTGTCGGCGTGAGTACTGAGAAGGACCCTGGCCTGATCCAGATTGGTTCCACACTATCTTCGGTGCGAGCGATTTGTCGCTTTCTTAAAAACTTTCAAAAACAAATGTTTTACGCGGCCCTGTGAAGACTTGTGTGGAATCCCTCTTAAGGTTGCGCAGCCTAGGATCACTCTTAGCCTCAAGATTCAACCCATTTGTTTTCCAACTTTGAACCCGTTCAGAACGTTCAGAAAGATCAACGGACAAACGCCGTGAAAGGCCCCTGTGGCCAGTTTTGGAGTAGCCCTCGAGCAAGAGGCACCAAAGCCAAATCAGAAGGAGTGGATCTCACCAGAAGAAGCTCGTGGAGTAACCGTGATGGATTCTTCTGCAAATCAGTGCAACAGCCGTTCTCCTGGACACAGAGAGGCTTCTATTCAAAAAACCATTTGACATGGACTTGCTACACTTTTACCCTTTGAGAGGCTCGCTGGGCTGAAAACCCGGAAGGGCGACCCAGGCAAAAATTAGAGCAAAAGAAAAATACAAAAAAAAACAAGAAGAAAAGAAAAGAAATGAAAAGAGAAAAGAAGAGAGAAAAAAGGAAGAGCAAAGAAAAAAGAAAGGAAAAAATAGAAAATGAAAAGAAGCTCGTAAGGTCGAAAACCCGCATCGGGCACCTTGGCAAAAATTAGAGCCTGAAAAGTGAAGGTTAAAATACCCGAGTGTACCTTAACCGGAACTACGTGAGGCTTGATTCCCATGTTTGGGATACGTAGGCAACTTCATCATGAAGTCCAGCCCCCAACGCTTTCATAGCGTCTCAGTCCATGCAATGGTTTCAATTTCATCCCAAAGTCCAGTCGCCAACACCTTCCAAGGTGACTGTGTCCACATATT